ATATATATATATATATATATATATATATATATATATGAATATGGTTGAAACTTAAAGGATGAAAGGACTAAATTTAGTTCCATGATGTGATACTATTAGATAGTCATCATCTTGACACCCCTCCTAATGTTTATATACATATATGTGGTTGTTAATGTACTGAATTCGATTAAGCTCACTGCTGTCTCAAAATATTTCATACCCTTCCTCTAATAATCCCAAAATTGAAGCACAAGTTGGTGTGGTACTTACAATGATAACACTGCCCAAATAATCTCTGAATCTGTCACGGAAGCTCCTCATGTAATCAGAATACACTTGAAGAGGCGTCCTTCCCCGCAAAACAGGCATTGAATCACAGCCCAAGGAGATGTACTCAGGGTTCCTCCTCCCTGATTTGTCTGTGTAAACCAGGTCAGGGTTCTTGCTGATTTCTTCCAGCACCCATGGAGGCAGAGGAATGCTAAAGAAAACACAATAATATACAAAATTAGACCCCCATCATAAAGAAATCAGCTATACCATCATAAAGAAACTTCATATATATGAAATCTCAGAACAAGATTATGCCTTTTCTTTCTCAACATCAAAATTAAACATAGGACCCAAAAATAAAAAACATTGTTTTATGAAAATAAAGTTAAACTAAGTTAGAATGAGTCCTGAATCATGAAAATAGATATTCTCATATTGAATTTTCACATAATCATATCATAAGAAAATCTTGCGTATAACTCTCTCTTTACATATTAAGCATGTTATTAACTCAAAGAATACATCAGTTTTGTCTCTACAAAACCTGTTGGACAAACTTTAATGAGATTTTTCCTCTCAAACTATGTTTTTTCATCATGCCAAATTAAAATTTGCTTACATGAAAAGACAGACACAGTTTTTTCAGCATAAGATAATTCCTTGCCACTATACTATATCATACCTGCAAGAGTCTCCAACATTTCCTCCACATTGATGGAAGGACATGACAACCTGAAGCTTCAAGCCATGTTTCTGAACCATCTGCACAAGCTCAGCATAGGCTTCCCAGTTATACTTGAAGGGTCCCTCTTTTTCCACCAAGCCCCACCAAGCATCCACCATTACTCCTTCCACTCCCGCACTCTTCAGTGCCATCAAACTAGCATTCATTGCTCTCGCCTTATTCAAAGTCCCTCCCATTGTCACTGTGTCCAGTGGCAGCATCACAAACACTGGCACTCTCATTGAATCGTTCTTGTGGCCATGAGCAACCGATGGAGAATGAACCTTCTCCATTTTCTCGTTGGTGTGGTTCCTTGTGACATGATGTGCATGTTGCATGGAACACTTGGTTCGGAGACGCAATGATGGCTTGGTTTTTACGAAGTGAACTTTGGTGGGAACGTCGTGTTTTGGTTTTGGGAGCTTGGATTTTTTCTGATTGACGATGGAAATCGATGAGCGAAGTGTTAGAGCCATTGTTGTGTGTCTCTGTTTGATATGCCATCGATGTTTATTTATGGATTAAAAAAAAGTTAACGCTCTTTTTGGGAATTGAAATTGACTCAATTTGTAGGTAGGTCCCACATCGAAAAGCGGAAAAGTGCAAAAAATCAATACCAGTTGGCTGTGTGTGAAAAGGCTTACGTGTTTCCACCTCTTCCATTCTTATCTAACAAAAATCGCGTACTCGTAGGATCCACTTCAGGAAAATAGATAAATAAAATTAAACGTACATCTATTTTGGTTTGCGGTAAGTTTGTATGGATCCGGATCCTCTCATATATAAAAATTGTGGTAACTTAATTCATTTTAACTGTTAAATTTATAAAAATAAATTAAAACGTGTATAAAATATATTTTAACTTAAATGTACACGTGTCACAATCTGATCTATTATTACAAATTTAATAGTTTAAATGTGTTAAGCTACCCTAACTTTCCTTCCATAAAATCAGGGAATCTATTTCTAGATTCTTATGACAAAAAGAATACCGTAAGAAAAATTTAGGAAAAAATAAAATAATAAATGTAATAAGTGATAAGTGATGTAATAAAAAAATAAATAAAAATATGTTTATTTTTTATAATAACTCTAATTAACTATAATTACCTTTACTCACATAAAACTTTAAATATGATTCTTTAATCAAATATTGAAATTTAATTTTGAATATAAAATTATAAAAATGTCACATTATTCTTATAAACTTAATCTAATAATAATGAGTTATATCTTTTTATAAAATGAAAATATATTTTATGAAAAATTATATCTTTTTTACTAAATAAAATAAAATATTTTCCCTGTCTCAATAAATACCGGCATATATAATTTTACATCAATTAAAAAAATGACAATAAGTGCGTGCAAGAAAATAATAGTTTTATAAAATTAATCTTTATATAAATATATTTTTACTTAAAACAGTTTAATATGGTAAGAAAAATTAAATAATATTATTAAAAGTATATACACTTATTTTTTTTAAATGTAATATAAAACATTTTAATTTGACATATTAAGGCAAAAGAAGTATAATTCAATTATCTTTGATCACGTGAATTAATTAACGAGGGAAACAATTATGTGATTAAGCTTAAAAAAATATATTTTTTTTGTCTATGAATTTAATTTGTTTATTCTGTCATCTCTAAAATGATTAAAATTAAACATTCACCAAATATTTTTTTTCCTTATTTGGTTATGAAAAATGTTCTTCAAAATTTTATAAATTTTTTAAAATAACAAAACAAAACACAAACAAAATACCCATAATCTCTTTTCTTTTCCTCCCCATCTTATTTTTGCTGACCTTTTATTTCAGATCACTAGACTAATTAAATTGGGTGTTGAACAACATGAGACTAATTTTGATTATATTCACTAATTGAAAACAAAAAGATCTCCAACCTCGAAACCCTATGCTAAAGGTTAAAGAGGGTGGACAGCTTCAAGAATATAATCAAAATTTGCATTAATGAATGCTGGTTTCCAATTTCCATCCTTGAGCTTGACCAGATGAAATGAATGATAAAAACGAAGCTGAAAGATTACTAAGTTTTCATTTAATGAATTTAATCAATTTATAAACAGGTGAATGGTTTCCTAATTTGCAAATAGTAAAAGATGCATGAACTTCTAAATTTTCTACTTGCATAGTTGAATATATTGTTTTTCTAATATGGAAACTTGTTAATGACATTTGATGAGTGGTTTTGTATTGCCGTATTAAGATAACCTCTACAAACTGAGCAAGCTAGTTGTTGATTTATTAGTTTCTGCCTTGTCCTGAAAATTCGTGTGGATGAAAATATCTCAGAATTTGAATATTGTCTTGGTTCTGATTTAATTTGCACAAGATAAGAAAGGGTGGAGTCCATTTTTTTTTGGGTGGGAAAATATGTGGCTTGGGGAAAGTCTATGCTTTGATTAGTCTTAGACATTTCTTTCTGCCAATTTTTGAACAACCAATTCTTAAAAGACAAAAAAACTCTGTTCAGCTTGTCACACAGTTTTTTATTTTCAAGAAATGGGTTGGACCCGTTTTATATTGAGTTGAAAATTTTAATCTAACTTAAACTCGTCATGAGTTGATGTTGGATTATTCTGTCAATCATTATATATTTTTATAATAAGTGTCATCATACTAATTTGATGATTAACTTTTTTTTTAATAATAATGTAATACAATAAATATTTTTTAAAGAAAATTATAAGAGCATATATATATATATATATATATATATAATAAAACTACATTAAAAAAATTAACATAATACTGATTTTAAGTCTAATTTTTTTCAAACATATTTATTATGTGATAAAAGAAGTATAATTTTTTAACTTTATTTATCCTAATCTTTTTTTTTTCAAAATTACCATCAAATATAATTAACAAATTAAAAATATAAAATTTGTAATAATCTAAACTTTCAACAAGAAATATACCTAATAAGTTTATCAATAACAGTAAAATAAATTCATCAATGACATTAAAATAAATTTATAATATAATTACAAATAATTTCATCAACAAAAATAAGTACATACTAAAATCACAAATAATATTTAATAAACAAATTAATAGATTATTGATAAAGTATTATAAGTCAATATCAATATATAAAAGTTACATAAAAAATATATTGTCAACCCAATAAGTCAAACTTACCTGTCATTTAACCTATTGGGTTAACAAGGTATGTGAATTGAAAGATTGAAAAGTATAATCTAACACATTTGAATATAATATTGTTAGGCCCACTCGAAGACTATGGGAGTCGAAATTTACATGATACTACTCGAAAAGAATATAAAGATGACACCTACCAGAAATAAGGAAGACTTCTTATACATTCGTGCTCGAGAGCGGAAAGAAATTGTTTCGAGTAGTTAGTACGAAAATGACAGTCTTGGGAAAATAGGGAGGTTATCGAAGATTCTTTATAGTTGCACCAGGGTAGTCATTAAGGCGCAGATCAAGAAAATAGAACACGTGGGAAAAACTGTTAAGAGAAGTTACATACGGTTACAAGAAGTTGCATAACTCACACCCACGTCAAGCATAGTGGATAGCGGTTACGCCCCACAACACACAAACTTAAATTCAACCGCTATCAATTAGATTTATAAATAGAAGTATTAACCTCGTGCACAGGGTCGGAAAAACTCATACTTGAATAGAGTTCTGAAGCACTCTCCGCCTGCGCATATGACTTTCGTGCATAGAATCGTTTTTGGGTATGGTTGCTTCTTGACCACTTTTCCTTTTTCCTTTTTAGATTAGGATTAGTTTAGTCTTCTTATTTCTTGTAATCACTTAGTTTACAATTACGTAAATTCTGACAATGTTGCATAGGAAGTATATCTGTTGTTCATTCTGTTTATTTAAGCATTTATGCTCATGAACACTATTTTTTGATAATCATTGATGAATATCTAGAAACCAGTAATTATTAACTCTTCCTTCTACGTTCTTTGTTTTTAAATCAAATCAAATCAAATACCTAAATTGAAACTGTTTTTGGTGCTAGTCCGAGTAAAAAGAATCCATAAAACGAATTCTATCGTAAACAAATATACATGACAATAAATTTGAACCTATTTTGACATCTTACTATTTTTTATGTTAACATGATAACAATTGTTAGATAAACATATAAAATCATATTGGCATTGACATCTTCTAAATTATAGATACTTTCCTCACAATAGTATCTAAATATGTTAAAAGTAATTAAAATTCATTATTTTATACCCAAACAAAGAGCTAGCTAATTTGAACATGTTTAGTAAGCCAAATAGGTCATACTTGACCATTAAAAATCAAACCTAGAAATTATCAAATTTATTTAATTTAATATTTTTAAAATTACATATAAAATTATTATAAAAAAATAAAGTTATATAAAAAACAAACCAACAAACTAGAACAAGTCAACAATAACATTACTTAAAGTCTAATCGGATTGAATTATTACAAAACTTTTAATAATATTAATTAAAAATCTTTCTATATACGAACAAGATTAGTCTTTATTTCATAGGATAAATAAAAAGCCCATGATAAAACAAAAAGAAATATAGAATATACACATAAATTTCAATGATAAATTAAAAAAATAATTATTATAGTTAATATAATGATCAAGAATTGAGGTAAATACATGACAAATTAGGTTCAATCTTTATTGTTATCATTGTTATAATCTTTCCATATAATAGAAGAAATATAAGTAGAAAAACATGAGATTAAAAAGTAATCTATAAGTTAATTACATTGTCAGTGTAAAGTTTTTTTATACTAACAACCAATTATATTTTTTAATTGTGTCATATAACTGTTAAAAGTAAATGTGTTTACAGTAACATAACACAATTAAAAGATATAATTAGTTATTAATATAATTTTTTTTTACATTAACAGTGTATAAATGATTAACTCATAATATATAGGAAAGTAAAATCAACCTAATTTCACGTGACACTGAAGAGGGGATTGCATGGTTACAGGATAGGAAATGTGATAATCAACCACTTTAACAAAGATATTGCTCTTCTCGTTTAGATGAATATTGTTTGGGGACAGAACAGAAATACAAATTAGAATGAAATTGACTATTTGTATGTTGCCGGTAATATTGCATCAGCACTAGAAACAACGAGGAAAAAACCCAAAAGTCTGATAGAGAAATTATTGGTCTTCTTGTTCAGAAATTGATCAATAAGAATCCTTCATCTATTTTCATGTTTTGTGCCCTTTCCTAGGAAAGGGGAATATAGATGAGTTGTGTCCACGTAATTCATTGGCCTACTAATACAATTTTGTGGAGGAAACGAAACCTTATCTTTTTATTTCTCACACAGTAACAATCAGTCACACTCCCACTCGTATAAAAAAACACAAGAAATCAAATAAACAGAAACAATATTGGAAAAGAGGTGTATGGTAACGGACATATGAACAAGACCCCAGTTTTTTTGTATTAAATAATGTAACAGTTTAAATTTTTGACATCAATATAACATGACAAACGTTGTTCACCTACATGATAAATGTTTGATTCATACATAAACAAATGAAAGAAAACTTCTACATATTCACAAAGAGGTCAATGAGCTTGATATTGCTGAAAATTGCACAATAGTTTTTCATTCATTATTAATTTGACAACGAGCTCTCACTTAATTACATAGATTGATTCATTACCCACAGAAGTTGTTCTATATTTGTTTTAATAGATTCGAATAATAATGTTGATAGAGGAGGTAAATTGGGTTACATCAGGCTAAGGTCTGAGATAATTTGTTTGTTGGTCGAGTTTAACCCATTAGATCGGATCGAATTGACTCTTTTTTCTTTTTTTAATTAAATTTTGCAAGAAATAAATAAAAAAATATTAATTTAAATAAGTTTAATTGATTTTTGTCTAAACATTTTATAGTTAAACTTAGTCCATCATGCTAGAAAAAAATTGTTTTTTTTTCAAATCTAATTTGTTAAAGTTTAATTTAGTCTTATTTACAAGTTACATCATGTTAAAAACATCTCATACAAGACTTCATTTGTCATCTCTAATTTTTTTTAAAATTGTTTGCTAGACAATCATATTAAATTTGAATATTTTCTCCTTTGAAAACTCAAATAAAAAATATTAGCTTAAAAATGTTTTTAGTCCCTCAAATTTAAAATTATTATTTTTAATCCCTATAACTTTTAAAAATCTTGTATTTATCTTTCAGGTCACTAATAATATATTTGAAAGTGACAAATTACGACAATTATACAATTTTAACTAAATTTAATATGATGTTTTCACTATCAAAGACACTAACAGATAGACTTTATGCGACAATATTTGATAAATTTCTTAATAAAATTGAATATAAGGACTAAAATAAATTTTTTTATGAAATTACAAGACTAAAAATAACGATTTTAAATTTGAAAAATAAAAAATAAATTTACCCTATATTTAAGGGATTAAAAACATATCTAAGTCAAAAATATTTTATTATGTGACTATATACATTTATCATGTAAGCAAAGTAAAAAATAAAAAAATAAATTACGGTCTTATAGCTTTTTATAGAAGTAATTGACATCAATATCATGGAAACGTGTTTCATACAAGTCACTTTAAGTAAGATTTCTTCACTTATTAGCGAATTACATGACTAGAACATTTAAAGTCGAAGATCTGTTATTAGCTGTCCCACCATTCAGATGTCAATCTTTTGTATTGGAATGATATGATGGAGGTTGTTGCTGCCCGTGTAGGTTTTTTCCTCTATCCTCCTGTAAGAAAAAAGAAAGTAAGATTTTTTCATGAATAATTAAAAAGTGGATCTCACTATGTTTTTATTAGATGTAATGAAAGAAAAAGCATTAGATACTTTTTTTCATGAACACAAATAGTAGAATGAGATTAATAAGGATTATTTATACATGTTCCTAGCATGTTGATCTATGCACTATTTACACGGCTCATATTTGTTTTTTTTATTTATATATTTATTAAAATAACATGATATTATAAAATGATATAGTAGGGTATTTATAAAAACAATATTATCTAATAGAAAATAAAAAATAAAAATTGAAATAAATCAAATTTCAAATTTTCTAAAACAAAATCTAATTTCAAATTTATTTTTGAAAACTGATCCAATCTAAAACCAAACTTATGTATACATGTGTATAATTTTTTTAAATCTATTATACCATTCATATATACATTTTTATTTCTTATATATTTATAAATTATCACACAATTAATATTTATTTATGAAAATATATTTAATTAAATATATTTTTTTAATAAGTATATGAATAAAAGTATATAAATGTAATTGTCAAGTTATGTAATTTTTTTAATAGTTTATTTTAAGTGTTATACTGCTATCTGTTATATAGTGACTTATGCGATATTTTATATTTCCAATTATCTTTATTGTGTTTATTAAATATCTTACTATTTTTTTTTTCAGAGAATAAGTTTATGGTGTTTATTAATACCTCAATATCAATAATAAAGTGTTTAAATTTAGTCACATGTGACACTCATGAAGTGGTTGAAAAATAAAATACTACTCAGATTTCAGAGACACATCCAAAATCATTTATTATAGTTAAAAAGTTCATTTGTGATGGAAAAAAAGAAGTTAAGTAACACTTATACTAGAGAACGGGGACGTGTATATTTAAAAATAAAAGAAAAAAATGAATATATATTCAAACATAATTTTGTTTCGGCCTTTTAGGGCAAGAACTAAAATTTGGGTCCAATATTAATCTCTTTCTCGGAATGCATATCTTTCTTTCAATTGAAAATCTGATTTCGTTGTCACAATGAAATAGGACAAAGAAAAATTCCACATTGCTTCGTAAAAGCTAACAATGCTAAGGTCCCCCACTTCCACCCATGTCATAAGCTTTGTTTGTTTCCCATTATGTGCTATGTAAGATTTAGGAACTCTTACAATATTTTGTTCTAATAATAAATTTTTTATTTGAGTTTTTTAATTTTTTTTTTTTTGTAAAGTACTGACAAAAAAAAATAAAAAAAAATTACAATCTGACGATCGGACCTCCAGTTATGTCTGCTAACACCTGACAGGTGAGGGGAAACAAGTTCCTCCACCTCTAGACCTTACATTTGTCCCAGTCTAGCTAATAGATCAGCACACTTATTCCCTTCTCGGAAGGATTTGAATTTTTAATTTATTTATATGGAACCTATAATTAATTCTATATATTTTTATTTATATTGTTATTTTAACTTTAAATATTAATTAATTCTATATATAT